TCATGGTATTACTCTAAATAAACACAATCCCAGAAATTTGATTGATATTGCAATCTTTTTTAGCGATTGCATGAGGGACGATTACTAGTAATCGTCCCTCATGCCATTCATGAGGGAGGGATGTTCGCTTGTAAACATCCCTCGGAAGACAAAAGAATTCGAGGTGATCATGGTATTACTCTAAATAAACACAATCCCAGAAATTTGATTGATATTGCAATCTTTTTTAGCGATAATAGACAGACCGAAAATCAYATGATATTACCCGTGATGCACCACAATATAATGATGTGTCGGTTTGCGGTTAGAAAATTTGTAAGTGACTGTATTAATAATAAAAAAATGGTTTTACCATACAACAGCTATAATAGGAATCCACTCTTCCAAGACTATACACGTAAAATGATATCTTTAGGCAATCATGACACACCCTCACCRAAAAAAGCAAAACCAAAAATACTCATCAAATAAATATAGAATGAACTTTTTGTTATGCTCTACCTTTCATGTTGCCAGCTAATTTTACTTTGACGTAGAAAACTTTGAAAAGCTAAGCAACTCGGCAGTTGTCATTTAAGAAAAATGAACTATACAAGTTTTATATCGTATAGCAATGTATTTTTAAGTCCGTCCTGTGAGCCAAACAATAGGACAATATGTCTAATATTATGTACTTATTGACTGAATGGGAGGGCCGTACGGGAAAATATTTGGCTCGAGGTTATGCCGCTGCGCCGTACAAATGACCGAGAGCCAAATATTTTCCCGTACGGCCCGACCTAACTCAGTCAATAAGCATTTTATCATATGACAGCGTACAAATGACCGAGAGCCAAATATTTTCCCGTACGGCCYGACCTAACTCAGTCAATAAGGATTTTATCATATGACAGCATTTTTTAATGTAAAAAAATAAATAAAAGCGCGCGGAACTTCAAGCCGGGAAAATACGGGTTTGTACGGACCTGTCGCGAAAAGGCGTACGGACCCCATCACGTGACCATTTTCCAAAGGTTTCAGTGAGAGCGCGCGTAGGGCCGAAATACGGGTCATATGATAACAAGAGCGTCTTTCACGGATAAGCGTCACAGTTTGTGAAATATTTTAGATCGGGGAGTTTACGCACAATCGCTTCCGGAGCCATTTTCAAAGGAACGTCCAACCAAGGTTATTCTCGTAAAAACACAATGTAAACAACTACAATTAAAACTAAATTTTCCGCGATAAAGGAGTTTTAGTTTCTATTCTATTACAGATAATTTAGTCTTGCTGGCTGCCGCAATAGTTAATGCAATTAACTAAAATGTCACTAAGCTGAAAGTTCATTGATCAAGCTCCATTTTACAGATTCCCACGGGACGCCTTATCGTGTTGATTGGCGCGCTATTTGTGAGTAAGACTTCACTTAATCAAAGTCCTACGGRACATGATCACCTCATTGCATTGCAAAATACGATGATTTCAAAAGCAAATCAACTACTAAATAACAAGGAATAAATATGGTTTTACATGAAGTATGGATACTGATCGTTCTTCTTGTGGAAAGTATTGTCCCGCAGAACGCAGTAAGTACTAGGTTGATTCAAACACCGCATCAAGTTCTGAATCTACCTTTTATTATTATTATCGTTTCTCTTTGGATTAATCAATCAATAGAATGAGTGACATCGATGTTTGCTTAGTTTCATGTCTGATTAGTCGTCAAACTCGAAGAGCATTAAATACAACAATTCAGGCATAAAATGCTATACTTTGATCGCATTCTGACTTAGTCGAGCTCATTTCCACTAACCAATAAGTTATTCGACAGCAGCAGGTTCACTTCATGCGCAGACTCAACTTTTCGGAAAATAAATAGAGGATATTCATATTACATGGGCGCGCATACGGATTTTATCTTCGAATGTTGAAAAAATATTTTCGTGTGAGCGTAGCGAAATAGCAACATTACGAAATAAAGAAATAATTTCATAGATAATTATATGATATGTTTTATTTTTCCGTTACATGTCATCAATGTTGTAGGATGCGACAAAGGTTCAATGCCTGGAAAACAAAATGGCGGTAATAATACTAAAAAAAGAYCACACAGGACTTGATCCAACACAATTCCATCTCAATGATAAAAAATGTCTTTCAAATGTAACCAAACATTTAATCATTATGGAGACAACGTTGGACGGTTGTGGTACTACTGTAGTCGAAACAGAGAACACGATAGCTTATGTGAACAGGGTAGTTGGGTTTAATGTCAGTGATCCTCCTCCAGGAGCTGTCACTACTCGGTTCAAAATCGCAAACATACCGTTCAACTGTACCTACAAGAAATCAGCCGTTTCTGTTCTTCTTTCRAACTTTGAACCTATTTCAAAACGTGATGCCAAAGAGAGAAGACTTGAAATTGGTAAGTAATAATACATTATCGTGCTGATATGGAAAAGAGACCGTTGACATTAATCAAGGACGTATTTTTGCAAGCACGAGCAATTTTTCTTGTAAATGTCAGAGAGAAATATAATAAAATGAGTTTTAAGACAAGAATTGTAATAYGCAAGAGTTTCCAACTTGGGTGAAGTCACTGTGCAAAGATATTAGGCGCACGCAGCGGGTGTATTCGGACAAAAATATAAAACACGATCTGTGAGCTTTGGAACACCTTATGTGCGCCACAATATCATTGAAAGTATCTGCGGATTTTCCACTTGGAAATCGTCTACTTCCAGCGACGCGTGCGCAGCCAAATCGTTAACTATTTTCCTCTCTTATCTGATTGATCAAACAGGTTCTTTTGGTAATTTTACATTCCGTATGAACTTATACAAAGACAAGGSCTACTCCAGTCAATATCAACCCAATGACTATCCAATCAGCGTAAGGGTTAATGATCCTATCTACGTTCAGTACGAGGTGTTGTCAGATAGAGCCGACCTGTACGTCTTCGCCAAAAAATGCCTCGCGACGACCACAACAAGAGAGACGAGTAAACCTCGCTATGTATTCATCGATAAAGGGTGAGAGAGGATTGAATATTCTATACTATGATTCATTATAGACAAACATTTGTAAAAATGAACTGCAAAAGGTTCGTCTTTTTGAAAGCTTTTAACCAAATATGTTTTGATTTGATTAGTTTAGGACTTTGTGAGTTGTATGCACTACGACTCGGTCGGTCGGTCGGTCGGTCGATGGATCGGTCGGTCGGTCGGTCGGTCGGTCATTTTCTATCTTTCGTTCTAGATGCGCTCTCGATCAAACCTTGACTTACAATTACGCCGTCGACCGAAAACAGAGGTTTAAAATCAACGCTTTTCGCTTCATCTACGAGAACTCGGTGGCATACCTTCACTGTATGCTGATAGTTTGTCACAGTGGAGCGAACTCGTCACAATGCGTCACTGGTTGTCATAGTAACGAAAGGACTAGACGATCAATAACCCGTGAAGGGAGATTGAAGGAATCTAATGTGTATCATTTGGCATCCGGTCCACTTGTACATAACGATAKAGACGATGGCATCCCAGGTACGCATGCTTAATTATTGAAAGGATAAGATGGAAAAAAGATGATTGATTGATTGATTGACTGATTTATTTATTGATTGCTTGATTTTCTATTGCATATTTAATTGTATTACACAGGAATTAGTGATCGTCAAATGACAATTATAACAGCTATCGGGTCGTTAACWGTTGTATTGCTGGTCATAACCATTGTCCTCGCAGTCTGCCTGGTAATCAAAAGGAAAAACCACTCGTTGCTAAATCATGATCATGACATCTCAGGGTCATCATTGGGCTGAACACATGTCATTATGATATATCAAAGAATTACCCAGAGGGCTGTTTGTGGATATTTAAACAACAGATACAAGGGTCGGTAATTATTAGTACTGCTACAGAAGGAACTATCAAAAGTTTATAGGTATTTCTAGCGTTTAGTAGGAGATTATTTTCCTTAGTAATAACAAGTCTTTACAATAGACCATTTGCATGATGGCGTAACTTTACTACAACTACCAGAAAGCCTTGCGCATTTTCTTTGTTATTCAGGTTTTTAATCCCCTTAGCGATTAGTAAAACAATTGGCACTAATTGCATTACAAAAGAAAGTGGGCAAAGCATTCTGGTAGTTGTAGTAAATGACGCCATAATGCAAATCGACTATATTTGTTATATAGGTAACGATATTGGTACACATAAATTAACAAATTCAATCTGGTATGTTGCTCATAACGTTGTCATAGAAACGATCATTGATGCAATTTAGTCCATGATTATGCCCAAACTGACATTGAAAATACAATTCAGAAAATTATTGGTTCAAATAGACTTATTTTGAGTGCAAACACTAAAATCATGGAAACCTTTTGGTAGTTTGTATAACTATTATTATTAATTTGTCTTGAATCACTATAGAGTGCTCGCACTATAAATGCGTGAAATATAAATACTACAAAATAGATGATAAATTATACAAATTCCTTTGTTTCCTATTGTCTAATCAACACTATTTAGTAGTAATTAGTACTATTTGTTTCACGCTTTAAGTGCAAGCACTATAGCATTACCAATCACGCACTATTTGATGAGTACTTTTTCACGTTTTTTGGTGTTTGCTTCTGTTATTACGTGAACATATTGATTGCTGAACATATACATTAAATGAAGAGAAGACGGCTAAGAGCTCTTACATCATAAAAAGCCTTCGCGCGCTCATGTTCGTCTGAGTTTTTTTATAAACAAAGAATAAGGGTCAATCAACCGGCTTTTCTTGTTTCAAGGAAGTTTCTAGATGTCACTCAATGTCGTCACTGATTGAAAAAGGAAGATCGTATGCTTGAAGCTCTACTGGAAGTTTCACTTCAGGTTTCTTGTGATTTCTCTTTTTGCGACGACGACACAGCAAACCCAAGAGAAGCAGACAYCCCAGGCACAGCAGTCCAACAGCAGATGAC